TGAGGTCTGCATTATATTACCGTCACAGGCTCTTTATGGGCTTCTCTAAGACTGTTGGAATTGGTTCTTCACTGATATAGAATAATAATAGTCGGCATATGATAAATAACTGTAATTGTACTTTTTGCATTATTATGAAGTTATGATTGCACACTACCTCCAACTCTTTGATATGAAGTATGATTTGTTTGCCAAAAAAGAGAAAAAATTCAATAAAGTTGAAGTTGAATGCTTTTAAAAATTTGAATTGACCTAAAACAATATTTAGGTTTAATCTGCAAAAATAGCAGCCAGATGGATTCCAATCCACCACAGTCAGTCCACCAGAGTAGTATTGAGCTTCTCATATGGGTTTTGGCAAAATATAAAATGTATAACACAAATGAGACATTCATTTTAAATGCATCATGTTAAAAAAAAAGAAGAAGAGATTGTGGTTTGTTTTAATCTGAATTCATGATTGCATGCTGCTATTTACAGTGACTGATCTTGCGAACATGCTTTGGGAGAAATGTTTACACCAATAAATGTTTGGTTTTTTTCAGATATGCCCACATGATGCTATTTTCCTGCTACAGCATTAAGTTTCATTTCAGCCAAATGATGTAGTTTGACCACGCCCACTGAAGTGACTGGAGCTTCCCCGGTTCTTCAAGGTTCACTCATATTACTTCCCGTGTGAGAGACGAGTGGTGAATTGTTTGCAGCAGGTTTTATATCTGCATGCAAACGTGGAGTTTAGTCTGTTGGAATTACCGAGTTACTAGAAATAAGGTGAGTCAAGTTAAAATGAAATTGAGCTGTTTTTCTTTTGTTTTTGCTTCTACTGTAAATGCATAACTGTAAGTATGTGATCCAAAATTAAAACAAGGAAAGAGATTGATATGATTATGACTCATTGGGTGTGTCAGGGCTCTCACTGGGAACAGCCAAAACACACACTTAGTGCCAAATCTATTTCTATCTATTTAGCTATTTTTTCCCTTTATATCATATTTCATATGATATAAAAAGCCTGAAAGAACAGAAATGTAAAGCATATCAATGATATTTTCATCTACAGAGATCATGTCAGCTTTTGGTTTCCTCGCTTCGTTGCCAGAGGATCATTTCGTCTGTACGATCTGCCTGAACGTCTTCAGTGACCCGGTCACTACACCTTGCGGTCACAACTTTTGCAGGACCTGCCTCACTCAGCACTGGGACAGAAGTGAGTTATGCCACTGTCCAACGTGCAGTAAAAGATTCTATGTGAGGCCCGAGTTCTCCACAAACACCGTCATCGCAGAGATTTCAGGCCAAATCAAGAAGAGGAAGGTGGAGACGCTTGAAGACATGGATGCACCGGGGAAAGTGGCGTGCGACGTGTGCACTGATTTACAGTTCAAAGCCTTGAAGTCTTGCCTGGTGTGTCAGACGTCGTACTGCGAAGCCCATCTGGAGCCTCACCAGAGAGTTCCCTCTTTAATGAGACACAAGCTGATCGAGCCAGTGGAGAATCTGGAGGAGAGGATGTGCAGGAAGCACGAGAGGATAATGGAGTTTTTCTGCAGAGATGATCAGGTGTGCATCTGTCTGCTGTGCAGTGAGACAGACCACAAAGACCATGAGACAGTACCTGTTGAAGAAGAAGGGGCTCAGCAGAGAGTAAGACGATGCTGAATTTTATTTTGTTACATTTTTGTTAAAATGAGAACGCGGATCCTTGAAAATGACTGCTTCACCCAATTTAATTGCTTAAAATTGTACATTTCAGGAAAATATTGAGTCTCAAAAAGCAAAGATCAAACTGATGATTGAGGAGAGGATGGAAAAGATAAAGGAATTTAATGAGGGCTCCGAACTGCGGAAGGTGAGTACTGAGGCAAATTTCCAAATGTAAAATTTGTCACATTAAGCTTTACAGTGTTCAGTGCACACCTACATGTTTACAATGGAGCCCTTTTCTTTCTCCTGCAGGTAAAAGCAGACCAAGAGATTGAGGAGAACAATACACTATTCAGTAATCTGATAAACCAAGTAGAAGAGATGCAGGCTAAACTACAATCAAACATTCAAATCAAGCTCAGAAAGTCACAAGAGAAAGACGAAGCGGTAATTCAGGAGTTGCACGACGAAATCTCAGAACTGCAGAGAAAACACTCAGAGCTGGACGAACTTTCACAAAATGAGGACCACCTGTGGCTCTTACAGGTAAGTTGTACAGACTATGACCTATAAGCATCTTATAATAAAATATATCTCTTTTAAAGCCAGGTGCAACAAATTTCTCCATCTTTTATCCATCGCTTTGTATCTTTTCCTCACTCACCCCTGCCCCAATCCAAAAAAAAGATCCAACTGAAAATAGCTGCTACTCACTATCATGTCCTTATGAATCATTTCAGACTTTGAAGGCTCTGAGCAATATTTCCGCCTCCAAGGATTGGTCCAAGATCAAGGTTTACTCAGACTTGTGTGTGCAGACGGCGAGGAGAGCCATGGCTCATCTTGTGCACACTTTCAAAACTGAACTGAAAACTCGCACAAAAGCAGGTAAATATCTGCAGCGTTTGTTTTATGTGTGAGGATTTCTCTAGTTTGGATACTTCTGTTTGTACACGTTAACGTAGCATATTAAAATGATGATCACGGCATTTGACTGATTGTTGTGGAGGCTGCTGTGCACATACAAAAGTCAATTCTTCTGCTGTGAAGCCGACAATTCAGTGTGTGCAAACACGAAACGACACCACAGCACATTTAACGTCAGTGCCTGGAAAAATATGCTGCTCTTGGTCAGTGCCATCTGCATGGACAATATAGCTTCCGCCAGCTGAGTGAAAACTCTTCATAAGAGGGATAAATAATTTTAAATAAGGTCTTGTCTTCTAATCCACTGGCTGGTGTCTTTCTGTGTGACGCCTGCATATTCTCACTGAGCCTGTGCCGGTTTACTCTGTGTAGTCCAGCTTCCTCCCACAGCATTAGGGTTAACTGGTAATTGGCTGTAGGTGTGAATGAACAATTGTATAGGTCGTGCTCCAGCCCCATTACAGCTCAGATTGACTCTAGTGAGCCTGAACTGGATAAATGGAAGGAAATGAACGGATGCATGGGATTATTTAGAAGAAATGACATGAAACTAAACAGCCAAAGCAGAAGTTCCTTTTTTTTAAAAAAAAATGGCCAGCAGAGGGCGAATTTGTCTGGTTACAAAAAGTTCACTTGACATTTATGGAAACATGACCTCGTACAAGATGAATGACCTTTGTAAAGCTTTTCCTAAAGACTTTTATAGTCTCTACATTTACATTTTATTAAATACATAAATTTTAAAGAGGTGACCTTTTTGACTGACAGGGAGTTACTCTTTAAGCATTCACTGTCCGTTGACTTCTCAGTTAGATCCAACCTTCAACTGTGACAACCTCTTTCTAAACAGCAAGATGGTAATGGTCAAAACGCTCAACTCAGCAAATGTGATGAAATTGCCAGATTACATTTACATAGTTATGAGTACTCCACATCTTTATGTTTGGGCAAGTGAAACAGCTATTCGCTAACTGTGGGATAAATAAAGCAGAGTTTATCTCATTTAATCCCAGTATTACCTGTGGTGCATCTGATATCTCTGTGTTGGTTTTGTTCTTGGATCATTAAAACTAATGTTGGTCCAGGTTCAATGCTCCAAGTGACCAATCACATTGCTGGGATATCACAGTAAGGTTAGGGTTAGAGTCTGGTGTTTAGTGTGATGGTGTTTCTACAATGCAAAACTCTGTAGTTTTAATCCAGGAACAACACTAACACGGCGATATCTGCTCATGCTACTGCACGTAGTTGTAGTTGTTCTTCTGCGTTCACACTAGCATGTGATTGATTTGTCACAAGTTACACCACCCATAGAATTGTCTGTATATTCATATTCTTGGCTGCCATTGAAGAAGAGTTTTCTTTTAATTTGTTGATGCAAATCTCACAGTACAAGTGTGTGATTTGAAACACCACACGTGTTTTACACTTAAGGTTTGCCTCACTGTGATGTTTTTTCCTCCCAGAACTGACCAGGATGAGGCAATATAAAGGTGAGTTCATAGATTTATATTTAGTTTACTTTCCAAGATGTAAAAGCTCAACATAACTATTAATATATATATATGTAACTGACCATATGTCTTTTTTCCTTTAAGAATCAGTCGCCTTTAACCCTTCCACTGCCGGCGAGGGCCTTGTGGTGACTGAATCTGGGAAACGTCTGAAGTACTTCAGAGCAGCAAGCCCCTCGTCTGATGAGTTTGGGAGGTTTGACTGTCCCATGGTGTTTGGGACGAAGGGCTTCACCTCTGGCCGACACTACTGGGAAGTCCAAGTGGGCCTGAGAAACAACTGGGATGTGGGTGTTGCCAAGGAAACTGTAAACAGATCAGGAAGGGTTTTTTTGAAAAGAGAAAATGGATTCTTTGCCATAGGAAAAAGGTTTTTGGAGTATAAAGTCCACTCAGCACCCTCCACAGTTCTCTCCCTTTTCCCTAGGCCAAGGTTAATAGGAGTGTACCTGGACTATGAAGAAGGCAGAGTCTCATTTTTTGACGTGAATGAGAACTTGCATATTTACTCTTTCACAGGAGAATCTTTCACAGAGAAACTATTTCCATACTTTTATCTACTAGGTGGATCAAAGAAATCTGAGCCTTTGCTTATTAAGGATTGTCTTTATTTCTAATTCACTTCCTTCAACAATCAAAATGATAAATGAATAATAAGATCAAAGTTTAGAACTCAGAGTGCTGCGCAATCTGAACATCAATAAAACGTATTCAGAAATGACCAATTTAAGGTTAATAATTAACACCGACTGTTGTTCCCCTGTTGCCTTGTTTTACATTGTGATAAACTATGACACAGATAAAAATACCACGTACAAATTGTTCAGAATTCCAGACTATGAACCATGCAAATGATGTTTTAAATATGCGCTTGTAGAGTGTGTGCACAGTATATAACAAACTAATCAGTATTATGTAGTGTTAGTTCCATCCTCTGTCTGTTTCAGAGTTTTCATTTAAGGAAACTTGAAAGACTTGAATCTATTTTTTGTTATTACGCATCCTGTTTATTTAGCTTTACTTGAGTGGGGTCAAAATCTTTGACGTAGGATCTCCGGAGTACAGCACCATGTATGGTAGTCACCACAGCTGCTTCTGTAAAAACAGGAACTTTATGGTGCATTAAGTTAACCTCGTAAACTCATGGGAATGGCTAGGAGGTTTGTTTAATAGAGAAAGGTCTTGTCTTTTCTTTTTTTTAGATATTTACTTTAAATGTTCTTTTTCTGCAGTTTTTTTCAATGTATAGATGTAATAACAAATTCTAACCAGTCTCAGTCTTTAACATACCAAGCAACTTTGGCATAATCTTATATAAGTAAGGAGAAAACAGTGATAAATAGCTATAACCCATTTAAAATGTAGGCAAACAACTTAAAATATAAAGATATTATTATTTGCAGTACCTTACAAATTATTAAGTAACTCAGGCAGGAAAGAAACACGTTTATTTAACTCTGATATGTTTAATTATTTGGGGCTTTTTTCGCCAGGGTTTGAGCTTTATTAACAGGGCCCGAGTTTATGGGTGTATGCTGTCCAGAACGGCCAGCCCCTTTCCTAGCAGTGGTGGGTGTGTCTATCTCTATGTCAGGAGAACCAAGTGAGCAGAGTGTAGCTCATTGCTGTTAGAGCCTGAGGATACACAAGCTGGCAGTTAGAAAATAATTGTAAGTATGTTTTATGAATTATTTCTTTTCTTTCTGGTATTTTTAAGACAGCTTTTGACCATTACATGAGATTTCTGTGGAGGTACACAGCTGAGTTGAACTTGTTTACATTGTTCATAGTTCGTGTGAGCGGTGAATGAGTCATTTTCATGTTATGCGTATTACTCTCAGGCTCAGGAGTGAAAAGCCACAATCTAAAATAAGTTTAGTTTGATGGCTGTGTCACTGTGACAAATGTAGCCATTAATACTGTTACGTTCATAGAGAATACTCAGTGCTGAGTGGCTGGAGGATACGCAAAACTTCAAGATTCCTGCATGGCTCTGATGTAGTACAGATGTTTTGTGACGTACACTCAGAATTCTTTCACTATCAGTATCAATGAGCAGGAACCTTTTCCCCCTCTAGTGCAGATATGCTCGTATGAAAGCAGGAAAATCCAGTTTTGCATGAATTTTTGAACAAACTGTTACGGTGGCATGCCACTTCAGAACAAATATGGTGTTGCACACAAGTCTGATCAACAGTTTGATTGACTGGACATACCTTTGCTCTTGAGCCTATAAACTCATTCATTACCTCATATGGTTACATGTGAGTAATATTCTTACTGCTCTATTGAATTGCCTTATATACATATTTGGTTTTTCTTTTCCACATTGCTGTTTGTTGTATCAGTGACAAAATGCTGGTAATGGTAATGTTTGGTTTTTGTCTTTATATTAAAGTTATCCGACTTTGTTTCATGAACAGTGTTTCATTATAACATTTCAGATCGATTTTTGTGGGATATTTGACTGACCTCCAAACTGAAGTCGTTTATTTAATACTGTGCAAATGTTTTGTGCCAACAAACCTTTTTTAAATATATTACTTCCAAAGAGCCAGCCTTACTTCAGAGTGATTTTGAGCAATAGTTGTCTAAAGATCTTTTAGGTTTTTATTTGGACACTGGCTGCTTTTCACTCATGTTCAGTCCAGTCTTCATACCTGACTATTTTTACAGGAAGTAGTCGTTTTGTCAAGCCACTTAACAGACCTATCATTTATTCAATCAGAAACGTAACTCAAGGAATGAACCAGTCTTGTGTCTACACATAACATCTTTGTAAAGATCTCATTTTAAATCGTATCTTTGGGCACTTTGTTACTGTCGCCCTGTCACTAATCAAATCTCTTAAAAATGCCAAAGATAAAGCAATATGGTAATCACATTATTGGTGCAAAAATCTAATTTTACAACGGTCAAAACTTGGCATATTTTGGCATGGTGTGCAAAAAAACTATCTCCAGCAGATGAACAGTATCTAGAACTCCTTTAGAAATAGGAAAAGAAATCCAGAAAATACCTGACGCAGGACCTGAGAGAAGCATCTGGCCCTTTAGTTGATACATCTCTTGTTCACTGAAGCCTCAACAGAAATGATCTCATTGGAAGGGCAGCTGTGAAGAAGGCTGAGGTATACCAAATTAAGTGAGATTTGGCAACAGAAAATCAGGACTGGTGGAGCGATGAATCCAAAACTTTCGGTTCAAATCATTGTCAGTTTTCAGGGAGAAGGCCGAGAGAGAGGTACAACAGCGAGAGTCTGAAGACATCTGTAAAATAAGGTGGTGGCTCTGTCATGGTTTAGTGCTGCATTTTAGCCAGTGGTGTTGGAGATCTTGTGAACATTGATGGAATCATGGATGAAGAAAGGTACCATTTTGATCCACCCAAACCTCTGGCCTCTGCTCCGTGGTTGCTAGGTGACCCCTCGTCTGGGGCTCTCCTCAGCTCTTCCCAGCAGGGTGTCACGGTTGCCCCTCCGATGGTCCTTCTTAGACTCTCGTACTCTGGGGGCCTCTGGATGTTTGGGGCCTGGATCTCCTCCATGCCTGGTTAATGCCCTGTGGGACGGGGCTATGGCTCCACCCCCTAGCAGATCGTTACATGGAGAAACCTTTTGAATACAAGCATGCTGATCCACACAGGTGTGCACACAGGTGCTGTTCACAGACACAAACTACCCTTTCTTGGCTGCTACCTCAAAGCACATTGTGCGCTGTCATCTTGCGTGCTGCACAATAACATTTAATATTTAGTATCTATGTTATCTACTTTAGCTAGTTTATTGGATGGTGTTGTTTTATTACATTGCTCTCTTTTTCACCTTGTTTTCCCTTTTTTTCTTGGGCGTCTTTCTTGGCCTTCTGACAGTATTTCTGATGGGTAAAGAAACAAACGGAAGAGGCAAAACAAAAAAAACAAAAAAATCTTTTTGCCTTACATGAATGCTTGCACACATTTCAGCAAACTGCTGCATCCAAAGAAATTAGGAATGGCTTAAGATATTTGCACTGCACTACATGTTACTTTTTATTAATGTGTTTACTAAAGTTGGGCAGCACCTGTGGAGCAGTGATGATCTCTGTTGCCTCAAAGCAAGAAGGTCCAGAGTTAGACTGCAATGTGTCTGTGGGTTCAAAACCATGCGGTTAGTGGGGTTAGGTTAACTGGTGATTCTAAATGGCCTATAAGTGTTTATGGTTACCTGTTTCTGTGTGTAAGCTCAGCGTCAGATTGGCAACTGTCCAGGGTGTACCCTGCCTCTCACCCTCTGGTAGCTGGGATAGGCTCCAGACAAAGGTATGGATAAGTTGAAGAGAATGGATGTTTGCTAAAGCCAACCAGTTTTCTGTATTGTACTTAAGTAGAGAAGCCTGTAAAAACATTCTTCTATTCATGTGATCTTAACATTAATCCTCCCAGTAAGGAAACACAAAGCAGTTTATACAAAGATGGAGTAAGTGTTATTCAAATGCCAGCTACTGTTTGATCCTGCCAAGTGATACGAAACATGAGGAGAAAAAGTGTTTGTTTGGCATCTGTTGCCATATTTAGCTATTAAAGTAATTCTAATGAATAACCAAAGCAATAAAGACTGAAGCCTGGTGAACTGTGCATTTCCATATAGTCAGTGATACACCAGTCCATTGATGGGCATCGATGGCTCAAGCAATCAGTATGGTTATGTCCATCCATCCATTCTCCTTCAGTTATTGTTATCAGGGTTGCAGGGCCAAAGTCAGTCACAAACAGGTATATGTATTATGGTATTTTGCACAAAAAGTGGACAGTCTTTGTAATGACAGTAGCTCTGGACAGCTTTAAACCAGAAGCTTTTTTCTGTGCAGTGTTTAATTGTGTAGTTTCCTTCTGATATGTCAAGCTTTGTGAAGAACGATGTTGAATGTGTGCTAATAAAACCTCTCTTTTCTTGTCAGACGTACTGCTTCAAACAAATCATCACCTGTGCAAAAAGCAAACTGAAACAGGCCGCAGGTTGCTTGTATTTGCACAGGCATATTAAGACGCGATGTCAGACTCTCCTAATTGCTGCATCTGTCTGGATGAGTTCGCAAGCCCCGTGTCCATCCCCTGTGGACACGTCTTCTGCTTGGGATGCATTGGAGAATACTGGAAAATCAACGAGGCCTGCCAGTGCCCCCTTTGCAAGACTTTGTTTCCTACCAGGCCACAGCTCAAAACAGACCAGACACTACATACTGTGAAAGCACCTCAACCTTTAAAAGCTGGAGAGGTTCCCTGTGACTCCTGCTCAGCAAAACGTCCTGCAGTCAAATCCTGCCTGATGTGCATGGCTTCCTACTGCACCACTCATCTGGAAGCACATTACCAGACTGAAGAGCTTAGGCGCCATCTACTGGTCAGTGTGGTAAAAAACCTCGAGGATTCTGTGTGCAAACTGCATGGGAAGAAGTTGGAGAAGTTCTGCAGGAGTGACCGGGCGTGCATTTGTGCTATGTGTGCACAGACAGAGCATTGGAGCCACAACATCATTTCTATTAGCCGGGAAGCCTTTAAGAAGAAGGTAAAGAAATTTCTGCTAAAGCTTTTTTAGAAAAAGTATTTACAAATAATTTTTGTTGGCAATAATGTAATAAGTATTCTCTAATTTCAGCTTAAAAAAAGACTAAAAAACTTGCCACTCAGTTGGATTCACATGCTATCCCATAATAATCTCAGACAATTAGTGTTAAAGCTGTTTTGTAAGTTATATTTGTTAACAAATTAAACAACAAAAGTAAGAATTTGCTTACATCTTGGCAGCCATTTCTTGCCTTTTCATTCCCTTTTTGATTACTTTTGTAAATTTGGATGGGGGTCAAAAAATTGACTCTTTTTGTAATCAAAAAGTGAACTGAAGCTCTTGATGGTGTTTTGTTTTGTGTCATCCATCAAAGCAAAAGAAACTGTCATCACGGGGTGCACAGGATTGCAACATAGTTCAGAAGAAGCTCAGGAGACCATACGACGACTTGATTTAACAAAACATGGTACAAGTGTGCCTGCAGTTTGTCAGCTCAGCTGTGCTAATGCAGTGTCTCCCCACAGGTTATTGTAAAACGAAGGAGGATGAAACTTCAGCAAGAGGTTCAAGATAGAGTGAGTGAAGCTGAGAAAATCAAACTCACTGTAGATCTCAGTGGACAAAGTCCAAAAGAGGAATGGCAAACAAATAAAGAGCTCGAACAGCTGGAAGATGAAATCTTTGAGCTCCAGAGGAGAAATGTTGAGCTAGAACAGCTCTTGAAGATTGAAGATGATCTCTTATTCTTACAGGTTTGCTTCCTGGTAAACTTAAAACCAACTGCAGCATTAAACACATGCACACAAAACACAACACTAATTTCAGTGTTGTGTCTCTCTTGTCTCTGCAGAGATCTCTCCATGGTGCTTTGTGATTCAAGAAACATGCTGATCAACAAATCTTTATTTATGTGTTTGTTTGTTTGTTTTTTTAGTTATAAAATGATTATGTAATCTCAGCTGGGTGGGTGTGTTAGCTTTCAAGGAAAAGTACGCTCTGATTCATGAGAAAGAGATGAAAAGTGTCACTCAATTGTTTTTGCATTTAATGTAAGGATACAACCAGCTGACTTTTAGCCTACAGTGAAACACAAACTTGAACTATTTATACTTTTGAACCTCAATAATACTTTTAAAAAGGAAAAGCTAGCTAGTTCCCAGGATTTCCAATGCTAAGCTAAGCTAAACTGTTGCTAAGCTAAACTAAGCTAAGCTGCCGGTGGCTGTGGTCATACATTTAATGTAAATGGTATTGATCTCATGTATCACTCTGCCAGAAATCCAATGTATGCACTGAATTTTATATTTTATATTTTTACATTTAAAAAATGAATCGTTTATACGGGTTTAAAAAAACTGTGAAGTTTAGAAACCTCAGGGACGTTGAACTTGGTTGTATGAATGTAACTTATTACTGGGTGGGTGATGCAATTAACTGCTATTCAGTGCCAAAAATGCTTTTGTCTTCCTTTTTGATTAACCAATAAAATGTATGTAAAATAAAACTTATGATGAGCAATAGGCAGTATTTCGACCGAAGTCCTGTGCAATAAAAAGGTCTTGTGAAATTGGATACTTGATCTGTATGAACATGCTGAGCACACACAACACACCCTGCTGCAGGCACACAGATGATTTGTTTATGCGTTTGCATGCCAACTCGTCTCTGGAGTGAAAAATGTGAACGGTTGGGAGTATGAACAGAAATGAAACTTAAACTCTAGGAGGAAGTCCAAAAGGAAGGACACACACTCACACACACATCAGGAGTAAAGGGAAACGGAGACAGATGCCTTTGAGATCTCATTAGCTGAAAGGTAATACTGTACTTTTTGCATGAACTTCATATAAAAAGACTGATGTTAAATGACAGATATTACATGTAATATACAGTTAGCTTACAGCAATAGATTTAAATCAAATGTGTGTGATCAACTGTACTGTAATAGAAACTTACAGTGTGTACCGGTACTTTATATTTGGTGTCGAGTTTCCTCCTCCAATCTTCAACACTCCCATTTGTGAGGCTTATTTACAGGGTGTGTCACTAGTATTCAGTGGTTTTTACTTCTTACTTTTAAGAGGGGCCAGTAGAAAGTTTCAGAGAATAAATTGTCATTGTATCCAACTTATTGCACACAAATGACAGTGTATGCAATTCTATTTAGTTTGACTGTTTGCTGACTTTATTAACTATAAAGTGAATACTTTGACCTGCACACATGTTAAATATTAGCAAATAACTTCTGTTGAATTTAAGTAAGTCCTGGTAAATAATATTAATCATAATACTTTAACTAAATGATATTACAAAGTGGAATTAATAAGCAATAAACTCAATCTTGTTCAGTTAGGCATACTTCCTTTTTTTTTTGTTAGGCGTACTTCCACTAGAAGTAACTAGAAGTGGATTTGTAAACTGATTCTGAAGCCTTTGTTTCAGCTCATCTTCTTCTGTGTAAGAGACCGTATTTACACGTTTAGAGATTAGAGCGCTAAATCATCAGATAATGCTAGCAAGCTTGGTAAACCATGTGTCTCACATGGACACAGAAAGTAGTGCTAATTAACATGACATGGCAGAATTTCATACATCAAATCGTGACCACAAACTCTTTGAATGGTTAGTACAATTAATTCTGGGAGCTGGGAGGTCCAGCTCAGTTAGCTCAGTTTGTTTAGGTGACGACTATACAGCATGTGGCTTAGTTGGAAATAGACACACCCCGAGCAATGCATAGCTTTAAGCCTCAAGTGATTTAAGAAAGTGTCATATCTGCATAGCTGCAAGGAAGGTTTACCTAAGCCACATACACCAAAATTTAGTTTTTGCTTCAAAGCTGAGCAATTTTACACAGAAGTGTACGGGGATTTGTGGGTGAAGCTGGTACATATTGTCCACTATCGTTATTATTTCTTTAATAAAGGACATTATGAAGTCGATGACCCCTTACAAGGTTACAGTTTCCATTTTGTTAGGAACAACTCACGAAACGCATATTCTAACATTTGAATCCAAAACAAGAATTTCAAGGAAAATTTATTTGACAAAATAAAAGTCACTGTTACTTTTCTTAGTGAATAACCTTGTGGTCCTCTCTTGAAGCAGATATGGTCCCAACTTCAGCATCACCCAGTGAGCCCGGCTCTCTGGGGAAGCATCTCCACTGCTCCATCTGCATGGACACATTTACGGATCCTGTCACTACAGCTTGTGGTCACTCATTCTGCAAGCTGTGTCTTGACCGAAGCTGTAATATCGGTGACAGAGGGTGCCCACTATGCAAGAATTATCTAAGCAGGATCCCTGATGTTAATATAGTCCTGAGAGACATTGTAAAACAAATGAAAGAGATGCAGCAGGAAGACAACGATGAAGAATACACTGGAGCTGCAGGGGAGGTGGCCTGTGATGTTTGCAGTGACAAAAAGCTGAAGGCCAAGAAGTCCTGCCTTGTGTGTCTTGCATCGTATTGTTCAGTTCACCTGGACAATCATTTGTCAACAGAAAGGTTGAAGGGCCACAAGTTGGTGGAGCCGGTTGAGAATTTGGATGCGAGGGCCTGCTTGAAGCATGGACGCCCCTTGGAGCTGTACAGCAGGGAGCGGCAGGCATGCATTTGTGTTCTCTGCATGGAAGGTCAGGAGGAGGTTGTCTCAACTGAAGATGAATGGAAGAAGAAAAGGGTAAGTTACCATAACAACCTCTGAATATGTGTTTTGAGTCTTGACAGCATTGTATATATTTTACTTACTATACTTACTATATTGTGGCATGTGAAAGAATTTTCAAGTGCACAAAAAAGGAGTACACGTGGAAAAAATACATTTTTAAAGTATTTTTTTATGTTTCTCCTACAGTCTGAACTTGACAACACCAAGACAGAGTTAAATGAGAACATTGACAAGAGAAAAACAAAGACTGCTGAGATTGAGGAAGCTTTGAAGAGCTGCAAGGTAAGCAGCAAGTAAACTGACTTTTAGAGAAAAGTCAATCAAACAACAAACCTTTATTTGTCACATACATAATTATACACAGTACAACATGTAGTGAAATTCCTGAGTCCGAGCTGCGGACAGGCTGCAGACATAGCTGTGCCATTCCAGGGCTTGGTTTTAGCATGGGGGGTCTAGGCAGGACCCTTACTGGATACCAGGTGGGAATCAAACTTGTGACACTGACTCCGAATGTGTGTAGTCTTACCACTACACTATCCAGCTGCTATCAGACGAGTCAAAGTGAAAATCTACCATGTCAGTTTGTTTTTTCAAAGATAAAAATTGTGTTTATGGTAACTGACTGAATGCTGAACCTTTCTCAGAATTAACTTCCCTAACTAAACCAGTCAAAAAGTAGTGTGTTACTCTATGTAATACAGAAAAAAGAGGTGAACAGTCAAATAGACATTCCTGTTTCATTCCCATTTTCAGGACCAGCTGGAAAATGAGTGGTGGGATATTGACAATGTGTTTACCGCTGTGATCGCCATTGTGGAAGAAGCCCGTGCCAGAGCCCATCAGCCAATAGATAACAGGAGGCAGGTGTTGGAAAACAAAGCAAAAGGCCTTAAAGATGAGTTGGAAGCAGAGATCAACAAACTTGGAAAGGCCATCTCTGAACTAGATGACATTTCTGTTCTCGAGGACCACATCCTTTTCCTGCAGGTAGAGAAAACTTTGGGATGATATATGTGGCACATTCATAATCAGTCTGAAGGATAAACATATCTGATTAGCTACTGACATTTTGTTCAGCACTGCTATCAAACTGTTGGGTTGTATTTCTGTTTTGCAGAAGTACCCATCTCTTACAGACACTGGAGACATCATAGACTGGGATGAGGTAAAGCTGGACACATCGCTGTCCTTTGGCACCATCAGGAAAATCACAACAAAAATGCTGGAAAAAATTCAGCAAGAAATGGATAAACTAACTCTCATTGGTAAGAGCAGCTAGTTAAGAGCAGTGAAAACTAAAAGTTAAAATGTTGAGTTAATCAATCTAAAACTCTTCTTCTCGTCACAGAACTGAAGAGAATCCCAAAGTTTTCAGGTATGTGATTCATATTATTTGCTCTCTTAGAAACTGTGACTTGTTTAAAATACAGACTTTTTTTTACATGTTTTTAATTTTACAGTGGATGTAAAACTGGATCCAGATTCTGCACACCAACGCCTCGTGCTGTCTGAAGATAGGAAGGAAGTGAAAGATGGAGGAGAGAATCAGGAACTACCCCGTTTCTCTGAAAGATTTGATATATTTAGCAGCGTTGTGGGGCAAAATACCTTATTCTCTGGGAAGTCTTACTGGGAGGTGGAGGTCAACAACAAGACGGGGTGGGATATAGGCCTAGTAAGAGGCGGTGCAAACCGCAAAGGGAAGCTCAAACTCAGCCCAGATAATGGGTACTGGGTTATTGTACATTATGAAGAAGATAAGTATGCAGCCCTCACAGCACCGCCAGTTCGTATTCACCTAAAAGAGAAACCTGAGAAGGTGGGAGTGTTTGTGGACTACGAGGAAGATCTCGTCTCCTTCTACGATGTGAAGGCTGAGTCCCACATCTACTCGTTCACTGAGTGTTCATTCAGAGCTGAGCTTTACCCATATTTCAGCCCACACGTGAAACAAGAAGAGAAAAACGCTGAGCCTTTGATTATTTGTAGAGAGATACCAATGGAGTCTTAAGAAATGCATTTTAACTACAATATACTAAAGTTTGTTGGTCCACAACCTTCCTGCTTTTCTTTTTTCCGATACAGGAAAATGGGAATTATCAGGCATTTTATTTACCTTAGACTTTTTTTTTCATATATATCTTTACGTTTAGCAGCTAGTCACAGACCAATGATAGTAAAGCAAATACTGACCGTTTATCTTTTCTCCGTTATTTGCTTTATTACTCAAAAGCCTTTAAAGCAGTCTTTGTAACCTCTGGTTTGGTCCAATTTACTAATTGAGATAATCAGAATCATAACACAAAACAATGCTGCTACAGTGTGCTCACACTGCTATTCAACATGTGAACCAGTCAAGACTTACAACCTGAGCCAGAACACAAACTCTTAATCTAACTGTAATTTAGACGAAGCTTAAAATACTGTGGTTAGTAAGAAGAGTGTGTGTGGTTTTCTTTTTACACCATGTTGGAGGACCAAATGGATCCTAGAACTTTGTGAATCAGACACTATTAAAAACTACACGTACTCGCACTCAACATTGTGACAGTTTTGCTTAGTAGTTACTTCTGTATTGTTTTTTACGAAAGGTTATTCGATAACATATCCAAAGATGAAACAATTAAATTGCTTACACAATTTAATCCAGAAAGTTATTTTTTCTTAGAACAATCCTGAACATTTAATAGATTTGTTTATAAACAGATAGCTGATCAGTTGAAAATGAAGTTAGCAGATTAACTTATAATGATTTGTTGCAGTCTTGAACACAACCTACCTCTAGCTTGATTAGCTGCAACAGCAACAACAGTCTGTGTTTAAGTGAATGTATGGGCAATAAAGATCAGCAATAAAATATTGTGTTATAAGGGGCTTTCAAAACATATACTTTAATTATATTCCCAGTTTTTTAGTTATGTATCCCACTTAATTATTTTGGGGTGTTTTGTGGCTGTTCTTTAGCACAGACTTGTATTGTGTTAAATTTTATTTTGAAGTTTTTCACATTGCAAACTAGTCTGTATTTTTTTTATGGCAAAGCGGTGACTGAGGTCAGTCTGGAACTTGAGATAATTAAAGCAGAGCACAGACAGTTCTTGTAACTGAGTCAAGGTTCATAATTAGCTGTGTCACCATTGTCCCATAAAAAGTACACACAAATATCAAATGTACACTTTTACAGTTTCAGGGTTTCCTAAACCCACCACAGCCTCAGTGTACAGAGCGATGCATCATCTGAAAACAACATAAAAATGCAAACTGCTTTCCTTTCCTTATTTTGCCTTGCTTCCAGAAAAGTAGTCAAATTTCAGGCTAAATGAATGACATTCAGTGTTGTCAGGCAATGTCAAACAGCATGTAATGAATAAAATCCCCGTTTGAAAATATAACTTTGTCTCTCCTTTTTTATTCATCATGGCTGTGACCATGTTTGTGTGTCGTGAAAATATGCAGTTGAATCATGTCTGGGCAAATCTATCAGGGGCGGTTGGCGGGTTTTTTTCCTCCTTCTTTTTTTTTTCTTTTTTCCGGAAACGAAAGTAAAAGCACAAAACAAAGCATACCAAACATCATGTCAGCACAGAGGTAACGGTAGACAAAGGAAGAGAAGAGTGCACAGTAGAGGCACCACATGCATCCATCGCCCTGATTCTATTGTAAGTAACACAGAGAGCAGATTTATCCAGCTGATCTTTGCTATTGTTTGTTACGATAGAAAACAGAGGAGAGGAAAATCAAGAATCCACGGTGCCCTAAATAATGAGGAGTCTGTACGTCATCAAGTCACAGCTTATTTCGGTGTGATGCTACAAATGGATATCTAACGTACTCCAGGAATTGTAATCAATTTTAAAAAAAGTAGAATTGACTACTTTATTGTTATTATTATTATTATTTAGTTTGTTTAAACTATGATAGAAGTAGGTGATGGAGAAGACACACGTAGAGGTTTCGCTGTAGTCACGTCAAAATTGAAAAGGGAAGTAATGAAACTGATGTTTTACGGTGCTTTCCTGTTCTCTATCATCAGACAGTTACCTGGAAGACGACCCAGTGGCTGCCTTTTGATGCCAGCCTGCTGCTTTTAATGCAGTAGGTCTGCAACCAACACAAGCCAGTTAGGTAAATAACATTAGCAATTAAAAATTTAGTTTTCTAATATTAGGGAAGTGACGACTTACAGTAGAAAAGATGGACCCGCAGCAGCTGTGGATAAAGGGAAGCTTGTCACTTTCGCTACCTGAGCCGCTGCAGCTGTTGTAGCTTGGATGTTTTTAAACGTTTATATGATGATCCAGATGTTAATGCACATTTTGAAAAGAAAAAAAAATATCATAGTTTTTGTGCGCACAACACAAGAAAATGGTAAAAGATAACTGTTCTCACATTTGAGGTAAAATGAACACTGTAATAACAATCACAGAAAGTTTACGTTCTTGATAGTGTTTCGTGAATCACTCTGTGCAGTCAGCACAGTTATTTTGAGAGCAAAAAAGGAAGTCACACAGCATCCTCTGTGTGTCTTTTGTTGTGTGTGTAATGCAGACACGCAGCAAAAATGGAGCTCCAGGTTTGTCACTCCTGCGGATGGTCCAAAGTGACAACTTACCAGGGCCTGAGAATTCACCAGGGGAAGATGGGATGCACCCCGAAGGGTGTGAGGGTTTCAGACCCTCCACAGCATTACACACAGAGCTATGTGGGACACACAAAAACTCAAATGGACCTCAGGCTAGATGTCCGCACCTCTTTCAAGATTGGTAGGTTTGTTTGTTTTTTAAATATTATGTTGTGTGAGTTCAAGATTATAACTTTTCTTTCAAACTGATAAAAACACCCCAATAGGAAAAGACCTGATCCAACATGTTCTCACTCCCAAAGTGTAACATTTTACGCTAGGTAACAAATCATATTACGCTTCCGGGCACCCAACACATCCCTATATCATGAGAAAAATGAGGAAACATGAGAACTGTTTGGAATGAATCTACACATGTACCTTTATTTTACTATCTAACACTATCTAACATCAGTAAAGTTGTGGTTAGGGTTATGGCTGGAATACATGGTTTAAACGTCTATTACTGAGGGAGCGTCATTCTCCTGGATTTCCTCCATAACCTGGCGCCTACCATAAAAACGCGGAAGGTCACCTTTCGTTTTCCTCAGGAATGCCGTGGGACGTATATTATGCCTCAGGTGTGAGAACGGGATCCCATATCAGCAGATTAAAGCGAACCAAACCGGAATTAGTTAAAAAAAAAATCATTTTCATTGCCATAAATTTCTATTTTTGCTTAAAACTATTTAAAATCTTCATTTGACTCTTGAATTATGTGACAAACAGAAACAACAGAATATTCAAACCTGAGCCTGCGGGTTTGTCACTGCGGATGGAATAAAGTTACGACTTACCAGGGTTTAAGAATTCACCAGGGGAAGATGGGATGCACACCAAAGGGAGTGAGGATCCCCCAAAAGGAGCAGTACAAATGCAAAAATCAGTGGGAGGAGGACACGAAATACTGGAAACCAGCTAAGAAGGCGACTGTAAAGGAGGAGGTATGAGTTTGCTTTTTAGGCCAATAAATGAGTGACAGGAAGCACTTTAAGCTTTGGCCACTACCACCACCTTTTCTTTTTTTCAGAATGAAAAATAACAAAATAATAATTTATAAAAGTAAAGGATGACTTAATGACTTTAGTTGCTTGATGTTTCGTTAAATCACGTGGTGAACAGGCGACCCCAACATTTTGATAATCAAGGTCACCGAAAGTGTAGTAACTTGCAAATCCCCCTAAATGCTCCTAGCTGTCTGTGTTACTTTTGATCACTGTACAAAAACTTCCATGTTAGTGTTTTCATTACATATCAACTTTTTCTCAACTTTATCCGTCAACCTGACAGAATTTTCCAGAGTCACCAAGCGTGTACGGCTATGCCAACTCTGGAGCAACGGCCATATTCAAGGAAGAAAACAAACTGAGTATGTACGCAGTTAGAATTTAGTAAAAATGTGATTCTCATACAACAAAATGTGGAGGCTAACATGGAGCTGTGTTCTTACTTACAGCAGCTTCTGCATATACACAGCACTACTCCCAAAGAGCCAGAAAGTCGCAGCATCAGCTGCAGGAACACTCCACCCTTCCACAGGTACTACAGTTATCGTTAATAATGATAGTTAGAGTTAATAGTCGGCCAATTTTAAAGTGAGTAAACAGTAACATATAAATGTAATCAATACTTTTTAGGTGAGCAGGCCTGCCAGGGAGCCTTCAGCACCACCATACCCAGGAAATGTAGTCAGGCCTAAGGAGAAAAAAGTAAAGGAGAAAACATTATCACAGGTACCTTTTTGTTTTTACAAGTTAAGATATTTTTCTTTTAAACTTTAAAAGAAAGTTTAAACGAAGAACTGTTTTCTATCTTTTAGATAGAAAACAGCAGCACGATGGTAGAATACCTGAGTGTTGACCTCTGTAGAGACTATGCAACAACAGCAACCAAAATCAAGCAGGAGCCCAAATCACGTAAGTACGAACAAACAAAGAATTAAGTGTTACAGTTTATTCAAGACAAGTTTTGTTCAAATCATTAAGAATAGATTAAAAAAGGGTGATAAAAAATCATCTGCTCTTAATTACAGCACTTCACACAACTCCACAGCCATCTTTCCACAGAGCCAGCCGTCGCCTGCCGCAGGAGTTCCCCCCTGGTTTAGAGGTACTGTGGTTTTTTGCTAAATAATGCTTAAGCATGTGACAAACCACCAAAGTTTACTGCTGACGCTTTTTTTTTAAAGTACAATATCACTGGAATTAAAGTGTTACTGTTTTCTGTATGTCAGGTACAAAGATCCTTGCCTCCAACTCCTCCACCACGGGAACAAACAGTGCTGCCTATGAAAAAAGACAGCAGGGAGCAAACACGGGTACAAAACAGATTGTTTGAAGTGTAGCTTTTGTGTTTTAGTTATCCTTGACTTCTTTAAACAACCACATAATCAGTCCCAGCTACGGTAAAACACCGGGAAAAGCAGGTAATACAGTTTAAGATTTAGCATTGACTTTTTTTTTTTAAATTGTATTTTGCTATTTAGATTCAGGATGGAAATATCTGCTCAAATAACTTTAAAGTGATTAAATATGTCAGTGGAATCAATATTTTTCAGATGAACAGACCTGCCAGGCAGCCTTCAGCACCATCATACCCAGGAAACATAGTCAGGACTAAGAAGAAAAAAGTGAAGCAGCAAACATTTTCACAGGTGCCTCACTTTTTTAGATTTTAAGGTTATTGTATTTTGTTTTTTCCAGTTTAAGTAACTTTTTGTCTCTCTTAGACAGAAGACAGTAGAGAAGTGGCAGGATATCTGAGCATTGACTGCTGTGCAGACTATCCAACAACAACAACCAAAATCAAGGAGGAGCCCAAGTCACGTATGTATAAACAAAGAAATTAACAAAATGTATACAAAAGAACATGTTTTTTTTCAACCTGTCTGAAAAAACCCTCCTTTTTATTATAGCACTAGCAACCCCACAACCATCTTTCCAAAGAGCCACCAGCGTTCAGCAGCAGGAGGTAGAGTGCGGTGATTTTCTCTAAGTGTTCCAGCTTGTGCGCTAAAACAGCAGAGTTTGGTATCACGTAGCGCTGTGGTTTGAAAAAGAGGAAGAAGCTGTGTTTTCTTTTTCTATGTTTCAGGTTCCCCTGGAAGCAGCAGTGATGCTCAAAAATCAAGAGAGGAAGGATCAAACACAGGTACCAGACGGGCTGCTTGAAGCAGAACCTTTGTTTTAGTATTTAATCTTTAGCATTTCACATCTATAGTACAGTTACTGACTGCAGAACATCCCTCAGAGGAAGAGTTTGGTGAAGGACTGTCCAGCACCAAACCAACTAATCACATCATCCTCATGTACTTTGTCTTTAATGCTAAGCAGCAAATGTTAGCCAAGCTGGCATCATGATCATCATAATTAACATGCATGTAGCCCATCTTAGTCTACTCTTTGACAGCATCAGCAGTTAGCGTGGCTGTTGTTTTTTCATTCATTCTATAGTAAAAAGTCTTCAATAACGGCAGCTAGTTTTCAAATAGTTTCATTTTAACCTGACAGAATTCACCAGGACCAGCAAAGACAAGCAGCAGTAACAGCTCTGCAGCAACGTTCAGAGAGGATGAATACGAATCAGGTGTGTACAGAGCTACGATCTAAGAGTATGACTTTGAATAGAAGCGAAAGCTGGAACTATGATCTTTTTACAGCAGCTTCTGCACAACGCTCCACCCAAAGAGCCAATAACTCAAAGTCAGACCATCAACTTTACGAGTTCCCCACCCTTCCACAGGTACAATGGATCCATTCATAGTACTTTAAAATTAGTAAACAGCAGCATGTAAATGGAATCCATATTTTACAGGTGACTGCACCTGCCAGGGAGCCTTCAGCACCGCCATACCCAGGAAATGTAATCCAATCTAAGGAGGAACAAATAAAGCAACAACCATTATCACATGTATGTCACTGTTTTAGACCTTAGGACTTTAGGTTTTACACATGTTTCTTCAGTTTAAGAAACGTTTTGTCTCTCTTAGGCAGTAGACAGTAGTGCAATGACAGGATATATAAACATTGACCCATCTGCAGACTATGCAACACCAGCAGCCAAAATCAAGGAGAAGCCAAAATCACGTATGTGTGACCAAAGAAATAAAGTTTATTCAAGACAAATTATTTTTAAAAAATTTGTCTGGGAAAAAAAACATTAAAGCAATCCTTAAGCAATCCTTTTTTCCTCACAGCACCCCCAACCTCACAACCATCTTTCCAAAGAGCCACCAGTGACCAGCAGAAGGAATTCTCTATGGGTTTGAAGGTAGAGTCCTGTGACTTTCTCAAAAAAATGTTTCGGCTTGTGTAACAAACCACCAGAGTTTGGTGTCATGAAGCAGTGTTTTGGTAAAACAAGAATAACATGTGTTTCTCTAAAAATGTTTCAGGTTAGAAGATCTGTCGGAGAACCTCCAAGTACTCGAGAACCGGAAACAGCAGAGCTGCTAGAAAAGAAAGAGACGAAGGATCAGAGACAGGTACTGAATAGACTGTACGAGGCCGACCTTTGTTCAGGCATTTAGTCAAATTTTAGCCATTAGCAGTCAACATTTGCATTACAGTGCATAACATCTTTCAGAGGATGAGTCCAGCAACCACAAACCCAGCACCAGCAGGCCAAGCTGAGGAAAATCACACACAGAATCAAACATTTTCACAGGTACTGCAATTTAACACATTAGACTGATGACCTTTAACCCCTTAAGGCCTGAAATATGAATTGCCAGAAAATTCGACCGTATCTACAATGAACATCCACCACTGTAACAAAAAAAGTAGCTCCCCCTTTAAGTGATTAATGAGCTTTATGCATGTTTTTAAGCCAGTGTAGTGCTTTCTTTTATAAAATCGAGCCTCTTGTGACGTATACTAGAAACATTATTTTATTCATTCACTTTATTTCTGGTTGTTTTGAACGTTACGGCAAATGTTTCAATTTTAAACCTCCAGGCAAGCAAATCAGCCAGAGACCACCTGACAGCACCACCTCCGGTCCCGCCGAAGAAGAAGCATTCGGCTTTATTCAAGGAAAGGCTGGAGAGGTTCAAAGCTGAATTACAGCCAAAACTTCAGATGACAGAGGGGAAGAACTGTGAAGTCAGAGCCTGCAGACCAGAGGTAAACAGGAAGCTGTAGCATGTAGTCACCAACGGCACCTGATCAGAATTAATCTAATTAATTTAGCTACATTTGAACTTTTAATCTAAGACCTTTTAAGCATTGTCGTTGAAAACATCTTACAAATGTTTGAGGTACAGTTTGTACTCTGAAATGTTGTACTCTCGTTTTTTGACAGAACGTTTCAGATGTAATGAGTGCAAACACACAAACAAGTCCTGCAGCAGCGGACGTCTCACCGAAGGACAATCCAACACAGTGTATGTGATCGTATGGTTCAGTCGATAAACATTCAGAATCAGAATACTTTATTAATCCCACAGGAAATGATGTGCCCCAAGACAGTAAGAGTAACTAACTCAACTAAATGAAATATTACAACATATAACAAAATAGCTCTACTTATAAATATCCTAGTTTATTACAGAAAATTAAACATATATATAGTTGACACTGAGGTGCCCCTCTATGATTTCAGGCTAATGCATTCATGCTCAATGATGTAGCTGTTGTGTTTGTGTTTGCAGTGGATCACGCTGCAGAGGCTGAGCTCTCCACTGGTGTGAAGGTACAGAGTCTTGCATATCTCTCACTCACAGTTGTGACACTGCAGAGCGTTCTGATGGGAATGCTTGAGTTTGGTTGTCGCTATGGATGTTTTTTCAGGTGAAGGAACTCGCCCGCATGTTTTCAGCCAAGGAAACGCTGATTTCAACAAAGGAGAAACACGGAGCCAACCAAAAACCATCTCAGGTAGAACACCCTCTTATATCCTCTACTACATCCCCAAGTTAGGGATAACCTAGAACAGGGCTGTCAAACATAAGGGCCAGAGTCCTGTATGGGCCCACTGGATGTTTTTGGAAAACGTGAAGGACGTCATATATTTTAAACTTTTTATTTTATAACTACAGACAGGTCTGTGAATTATGCTACCAGAACCTTTTCTGCAATTTATTTTTTACAATTTTCACGCAAAGAGCAGTGCTGACAGTCCTTTAACCTCGGTTTCCAACTGGGGGAAAAGGAGCAAAAAAAGGATCTTACAGCTTTGAGGTGCTCAATATGTACAGCAATTTATTTATTTACAATTCATTATTTCCAAAATGCACTCAGCTGAAAACAGAATTCAGAATGCTCTCTCAGCTTCTCGGCTCTCAAATCAATTCCTCACTGCTGCTCAGTCCTCACATTTCAAGATCCCAGTAAACAGCTGCTCTCTGCTGGCTGCCAGCTGGAGGTTGAGAGGCTGCTGTCCATCCAGTCATCAAATACGCACTCAAAGCAGCCAATCAGCAGTCTCCACCTGTCTCAACAGTCAACACAAACCCACACATACGTTAATGGGAGGAGCCAAATATGTAAAACATGGGACATGATCATGATCACGGACCAACACCTGTGCTCTAGCCTGAAGGCTAAAATACACAAAATACAGAATCTTTAATCATGTCTACGATGACCCCCCACCCCTCCCCCCACCCCAAACACCATTTAATGAATCACGGCTTTCTAATATGTTCAATATCTTTCAGGTGAAACTGCTGGCTCAAAGGTTTTCAGTCATTTCTGCCCAGGAAACAGCAGCCAAAGCAAAGGAGGAGCACGGGGAGGAGCAGAAACCCACACAGGTGCAGGGCGAGTGATCTGTTGCCTTTCCTCCATCAGTGGAAAAGTCATTTAGCTCTTTGATCCAGCCTGAAGTACCCAAATAGCTCATGAGTGGATCCTGTTTTAGCTTCAAGCTGCTGGTTGAGCAAAATATGACATTTAAAGTTTTTATGTTGGAGTTCATTGTTTTTCTTTCTGTAGTTCAAGACTTTGCGTCCGTGTCGATGCAGCATCATCAGGCACGCACTCTTTATTTACAGAACACACACATTTATAACAGGAAAGAGTCGCTACTCTCGATGCGCCCGGCCTCAGGGTGCTCTCTCTCTCAAAGCAGTGGCTCTTGCTTCTCACTGTCAAGTATGCAGATCAGCTACAGCACCTCTGTGTGGGCATGTGTCCATCTCCAGGTCTGGGCAAACTGCCTAATAAGCACAGGTTAATTAGGGAATGCACAGCCAGTGTCCCAAATACTCCACCTACTCTCTGCACCACTCCTCCTCCTGCAGTTGAGCCAGAACCGTGCCCCTCTGCGAGCATGTTTCACAGAAAAGCATGAGCTAGATGAATCCATCATGAAGCAAACATATATCATATATGTTTGCAATATATCACAGGAGACAAATACAGGGAGCTGTGTTGAAATTCTTCATGCGTTATAAACTATTATCCACCTTTTCTGACAGATGGTGACAGATTCAAAAAGCGATCCCATTGAAATCAATTCTGCAGCAGCGAAAGCATCACTAACAGCAGAGAAGGATCCCAAAATATGTAAGTCACAATATGAGAATGTTTATATGTAAAATTGAGAAAAATACAATAAAAAACATGGCTGATGATTACTATCATCTTTTTCTACAGCGTGTGAAAATGCACCACTCTCAGATTTCTCCTCTGGTTTGAAGGTACGACTTCCTGTGCACGAAAAACGTCTGACACTCGTTCAGCCAGACCTGACAGCTTGTTTCACTGCAGCTGCTGCACCTGAGTGTTTCTTTACTACAGGAGAGGTTTTATCTGTTTTCTTTGCTTGATTGTTTTCAGTTCTTATTGCTTGCTGCATTTTAGGTGAAGGATCTGGCCCGGATGTTTTCAGCCAATACAACACAGGAGAAAACAATCGGACTAAAAGAGAAACGGAGAGAAGAACAGAAACCTGCAAACGGGGTAAACCACAGTCAATGTCATTTAGAAAGCAGAGAGCATAATGTGGTTTGTACTGTAGAGGGTGTAGAGGGGTGAAGCAGGAAATGCTGCTAAAGCAGGAAGTGTTGGTTTTTCTTCTGATGATATTCTTGGTATGAGTGAAAACAGAAACATATATTCCCTTTTTGGGTTATGCAACCACCAAAGAGGGTGATTCTTAGTTTTTAACAAATTCTGTTTCCTCTATCGTTTTGCGCTGACTTCACCACAATCTGACCAAGAAGTCTAAAAAAAGAGCTAAAAGTCATGTTGAGATAGCACAACTGTGCGGGGTTAGCACATGTTTTCTAGTTTTACACTTTCTGTGTGAAGCTTTCATGTTCTCCTTCGGCTGACCTGATGTGGCATAAGTGGGAAAGAAGATGTTGTTTTATCATCTTTACTGCTGACTTTGACCTTTTTTATCAAAAGACAAAATGACCGTCTGTTAAGCAGCTGCTAGAAAGTAAACTGGACTTTTGTTGTAGCTCTTCCAACTCCCCAATTCTATAAGACCAGAACACGTCTGGGACTCCATTTGGACACCAATCAGAAAGTAGTGCTTTGTAATAACACAAATTTTGCTATTGATCCAATACAATACTAGTACTGCCAATACTGATGCTTTGAACCTATAAAGGCAGCTTATGTAGGAGAGAGCAGTGTCTCATGATTTATAAGCTTAATCATCACTAATTGAAACATTGTGAACACATTTTACTGGACACTAAATCATTGTGATTTTTATTTTGTACAATAATGAGTTAACAAAACACACCTTTTGGGTTTTCATGTGTTCTGAAACTGGATTATTTTGGAGACATGGACCCGTCTGTCTCTAAAGGACTTTGGGTCGCTGTGCTGTAAGCTAACAATAAAATAGATGTGTAGTCAACACAAAAAGGTTCAGACATGTTTCATACTGCATGTTCAAGGGGTTTTTTTCATTTCCAAGAAAAAAAAATTCAACACTATTAGTAACAAAGTAACAATCCTATCACACAAGTATTGATCCGATACCAATACCACCGTTGGTATCCATACCATCGATATTTAGTTGGATCCGCCCACCTCTACCACAAAGTCCATGGTTGGGTGATAATTCAATGGATACTTGAGTGCCTACTATCTTTCAGGTGAAGCTGCTTATCCAGAAGCCTTCAGCCAGGGAAACTAAAGATCATCAAAAAGAGAAAGACCCAGACATGAAGGATCGAAACCACTCAAAGGTACGGCACACATTTCATATTTAAAATATCTGTTTCACATTTTTCCTCAAGCTTTTAGTCCTGAGTTTTGGAACTGCAGCCAGTGCTCGATTAGCAGCTGATTTGCTGGAAATGTGGAAACTCAAGTCTCAAACATGTCTTATTGTTTCAAAATAAAATCCTTTTTAACATTTTCTGATGCTTTTAATATGAAAGAGCAGTTGTGGTTTGTGTTAGCAGCTAGGTAACTGTGTTTTGGTTTGGTTGTTTTTAACTGTGAAAGCTAACAAGTAGGTAGATGAAGACCATGGAATATTATTATAGCTTTTAACAAGCGGTGCTGTGACTGCAACTCCAAACTTAAAGCTTTTTTTAAACAGTGCCCCGTCACTACTGTTGTTGCTTTGTTCCCCTCATCCTCTTTTTCCTTCTTTCTTATTATTCTCAGAAGGATGAATCCTTTCGTTTACATTTATTTGTTTGCATCATTGTGCCACTTGCAACAAGCATGAGTGGAGGCAGGTTGGTCCCCTTAAGGGAGGTCAGGTCTTGTCTACTGTCACTGTAAACTTTTCACATTACTACTGATGTAGTTTAAAATGTGTCAGCCCTTTGGGTGCCCCCTAATGGCCTGGAGAGGGGGACCAAAAAAAAAAGTAAAAACAGTTTGATCACGTCTCATTTGCATTCATTGCAGGTATGATTCCTGTTTCCTGGCATTGTTATATTTACAGATGTATTGTTTTTGTTGTAACTGTAGTGGATATAATGCTGGATCCGGGCACAGGGAAGCAAGTGAGAGCCAGAGAAGAGAAGCAGAAAGCTCCAGAGGCTTAGATGTAATTCAACAATCTGCTTGGGCTCAGCTGCCTGATCCATGGGAAATCTTACTGGGAGGTGGAGGTTAGCAACACGAGCATCTGGGTGTAATAAAAGCCAGCACAAGCCGTAAGGAGAACCTCTCTCAAAACCCCAAAAATGATTCCTGGATGATCGCAAAAAGATGACAAAGTCTGCACAGTCCTCACAGAACCACCTGCTTCCTTTGCCCAAAGGAAAACCTCACAAACGTTGGAGTTTTTGTGGATTACAAGGAAGGTTTTGCGTCATTCTGCGAACCACAGAGTGTTTGTTTACTGGGGAACTTCACCCCTATTTCAGTTTGCATGTTAAAGAAGATGGTGCCACTGCTTACCATCAGTAACTATGCATGGGTGTTTGTGTATATGTGCAGTTCTTATTATTATATTTTTTCTTTAAGTGCCATGTTTGGTAGCATATGCGTAAGTTCTGCCTGGGTGTTAATGGTAAATCATTCAGTCCCAGTCTGCTGTCATGTATAAGCCTAGATGTTGCTTTTGTTTCATGAAAAATAAATAAACTCATCTATCTCTCTGTCTCTCTCTTCCTTATCACCCAGTGAGGAGGATATGACAATTACAGAGTGCAGCTACTACACTTTTATTAGTGTTCAGCATGAAAAGCATGAAAAAAAGCCCTGCGTGCTAAATGAGGAGTGTCTTTTGCGCCCCACCTTCTCCTTTACACTTTACTGTCTAAAAGAATCAAATACATTAAATACCCACCTAATCGTTCTAACGGATGTCATGTAAAAGATCGCATCAGGCTTCCTTTCAGTTTTAAACTTTGATTTTTTGGGGGGATTATAATATTGGTAAAAAACAATCCACTTCTAACCATGAAAAACTAATTAACTGATTAAACTCATTATGACTTCACCTTGACTGCCTGTCTTACACATTAAACGGCTTTTATCGGAAGCTTGTTTTAATAAGTATTGTGCTGCTGTTGTAAGCTACGTTAAATACTGTTATAAAAAATATCAGTTAAAAATATTCAAAATATCAGAATCAGGAAGATGTCAGCTGTGTTTGTATTTGTTTTCTCTCGTTATTCTTTCTTCCCCCCCCCCCCCCCCCTTTTTTTTTTTTTTTTTTTTCTTTTTTGTTTTTTTTTTTTTTTTTTTTCTTTTTTCCCCCCCCCCCCCCCTCCTTTTTTTTTTAATCTCATGACGTTTGTGTGTTTGTTTCTTTTCCATGACGTTTCCAGTAACCGAGTATTTCGTAGTGACGTGTCGCAACTCCTTACAGTTGAATTTAAAGGGCTGGTTTCGGGATTAATATGGAAAAAAACGAAACTGAAACTGAACCAGAGAGGAGCAAAGTTTGGAGACAACAGCAGATCGCACAGCCGAGGATCGAGACATACGAGGGAGCAGGTAGGCTGCTCAGCACTTTGGTGTTTACTTTTTGAAAAGTCTCATGACAAAATAACCTGACAATCTCACTAACACTCCCTCTCGTGCCTGCATGAGTGAAGGAGAATCAGATAATATTAAAATATTACGACTTCGTATAATATTATATATTATATGAATTTTATTTTGTGTAGATACTGTGAAGTCATCTTGTGTGTGAATTAAAATCTAACAAGTTGATGTTAACTGATAGTTTGCAGAGTGCAGCACACAACGTTATATAGGCACAAACTTAACTCCAGTTAATTACACGTCGATCGTTTGAAGATAAGGAAGCTGTTACAACCTGCACTGCGGGGTGTGTGCTCAAACTACTTTTTTCCACTAGGCTGCTTTTCTTTCCATGGCAGGAATAAACAAATCCAACCTGAAATACAAATACTGCTCTTGGAGAGTCATTTTAACTCCTTCTAGTCCAGAGCAGACATGGTGTGAGTGTTTGTGCTGTGCAAAGGAAAATGTCACTTCCCCCTTCTTCACGCATGGTCAAACACTGAACGGTAGATTTATGTATGGGTTTATATAAAGAGACATGATATAACCATAAATTAATGTTTTATGGTGACCTGCATCAATAAAACTAATTACTAATTGCATTTATGTAGATCCCCGTGTTATGTACATGACCCATGTCTTTGTACATTTATATTTGACTAAACATCATGTACACTATAACCACACATAAACATTCATTTTTTCTCCTACACCAAGTTGATTGGGATTAGACACAAACTTATGCAACACAACTCCAAACGGTTCATGTGTAACAGTCACTGTTACACATGAACCACTGAATAGTACTTTTGTCGCACTGTGTAAGGGTCTTAGATTTGAATTCAGGCTGGGGACAGTGTGGCGTTTGCATGTTCTCCCTGTGCCCGGGTGGGTATTTCCTCCCACAGTACACAGACATGTTAGGTCAATCATGTTGCATGTTGTTTAATCTTAAGCCCAGGTCACTCTTGATGTAATCACAATGTAATCTTACTGAGACAGAACTCTTTAACTTCCTGTTTTCATTTGGCTAGAGAAATAAATAAATATCTCATTAATCTCATATGGATATGTATTTCTGATATAAGGACATCTGTGTTAGTAACTATGACAGCATTGCACCGAAAAAGCTATTTTTAACCTGAAACCCGTATTAAACCCAGTAAACTACTGTACAAGTAGTTTGGTTCCTAATGTTAAGAAAAGCACAATACTTGAAATAATCTGGAAGAATACTTACATTTCGAAAAGTTTTAAACACAGCCAGTATGCAGTCTGTACCACGACTACTATGGTCACACGCAAAATAAAAATAAAAATGATAAAGCTCTCAATTGAAGTTTTATTGATCACCTGGCTATTGAATGAAAAGAAACAGTAATAAGAAAACAGATGAAAGAAAAACTTCTTGCCAGAGGATGTGGAGGTGTGGTGAAATTTAGGGAAAGATAGACATAGAGTTGATGATGTTAAAGTAAATTAGACATCATTAAATCATACACTGCTCATTTTTGCTTTACTGACAAATATGTTGATAATATTTTTTTTACAGACACCCAACTTATCAACATGAACGTTCAGGTTTGCCACTGCGGTTGGACCAAATGTACAACTTACCACGGCTTGAGAGTTCACCAGGGATTGAAGGGATGCACGCCAAAGGGAATGAGGATCCCTCAAAGTGAACAATCCAGGTTCTCCCATAAACCGAGCTACAATGAACCTCAAATCAAAATAGAAGAGCCTTTTGTGGATTACTTCAAGAGTTCTGGTGAGTGTTTGTGCTGATGTAGGACCAGGAGAAATATCCTCACTAAAACTTCGGTTATCATCCCAGTTTACAGTGACTGTCTTCTTTCTCTACAGTGTTTGAGACTCCACAGCGCGCTCGTCAAACTACTGAACTTGAAGATTCGAGAGCTCGTAATTATCTGCAATCTTCTGTCGGTGGACAGCAGGTACTGCATATTTCTTAAGGACGACCATTCAGATGTATGTAAAATGGACTTACACAGAAGTATACATTATGAAGCCAAAATAAAGCTCCTCATAAAGAGCACAAGGTGGCCGAAAGCATCACTTCGCCAGTTTGCTAAGAATTTACAGGCCTTTTGCCTGCATTGTTCAACAGATTAATTCCTGAATTCAAAGTAAAACTATATAAACATTAGTTTTATTCTTCCTCCAAAGGTAAAGAGTATGTAACCTGAAACCCTTATTAAACCCATTCAACTACTGTACCTTTAGTATCACATTCTGAGTTTGGTTCAAAATGTTAACAAAAGCACGATACTTCAAATAATTCGGAACAACACTTACTTTTCTGACGGTTTTAAATACAGCCAGTATGCAGTCTATACCACGACTACTATGGTCACAAAAAATAAATAGAAATGATAAAGCTCTTAATTTAAGTTTTATTGATCGCCTGCCTACAAAAATGAAAAGAAACAGATGAAATAGAAACTGCTTACCAGAGGAGTGCAGAGGTGTGGTGAAATTTAGGGAAAGATAGACATAGAGGTAAGGATGTTGTTAAACTAAATTAGACACGAACTACATCCTTAAATCATACACCGCTCATTTTTGCTTTACTGACAAATATGTTGACAATATTCTGTTGCAGACACCCAACTTATCCAACATGAACGTTCAGGTTTGCCACTGCGGTTGGACCAAATATACAACTTACCACGGCTTGAGAGTTCACCAGGGAATGATGGGATGCACGCCAAAGGGAATGAGGATCCCTCAAAGCGAACAATCCAATTTCTCTCATAAACTGAGCTACAATGAACCTCAAATCAAAATAGAAGAGCCTTTTGTGGATGACTTAAAGAGTTTTGGTGAGCGCATCGATGGTACAGCATTTGTGCTGATGTAGGACCAGGAAAAATGTCCTCACTAAAACTGCTGTTATCATCCCAGTTGTTGATGTATTTCAGCATTTTATGTATTTTAGCAGTATAGTGACCCCAACATCACGCTTAAACCATTTATAACTGATAACAGGCATAGAACAGTTTACAGTGACAGTCTTCTTTCTCTACAGTCTTTGAGACTCCACATCGCTCTCGTCTAACTACTGAACTTGAAGATTCCAGAGCTCGCCGAGTTCTGGACTTTTCTATTGGTGGACAGCAGGTACTGCATATTTCTTAAGGACGACCATTCAGATGCATGTAAAATGGACCCATACTATACATTATGGAGCCAAAATAAATCTCCTCATAAAGAGCACAAGGTGGCCAAAGGCATCATTTTGCTCATTTGCTAAGAATTTAACAGGCCTTTGGCTGCATCGTTCAACAGATTCATTGCTGACTTCAAAGTAAAACTACGTAAACATTAGTTTCATTCTTCCTCCAAAGGTAAAGAGAATGTAACGAGTTCCATTTGTTTGTTTGTCTGCCTGTCTTTCTGTTTCTTAGCAAGATGTTAGTTTTCAATATCATTTTCAAATTTTGTGTGATGTTTGATACCAATAACAGCTCCAGCCGATTTCATTTTGGTGAACAGAACTTCACTACAATAGGCCTTGGAGGACATGAGCACCTAGGATGACTAAGCATTTTACCTTGACCTTCTTTGTTTGAGCGTAAGGTCAAAGTTGACCCTTGCGCTCTGTTGCTCTTGTTGTAGCTTATGGTTGGCACAGCTCACAGCTCAGTAAGCAGCAATCAGTCTTAAACAGAAAGCTCTGTGTTTGCATACAGCTCAGTCAAAGCCACCACACCCCTAACTTTAGGCATTTATTAATATCCACATAGATAGATCATATAGCCAATTTTTTGACAGTAAAACTGTTAGGAAGGGGGCAACTATTGTAGTTTTGTACCTGGTTTTAAACATGTATTTTAATCCTATTTAGCCTGACATTTTGACACTAGAGTCTGTTGGGACTGAATCACTTTCGGAGCCATCCTCCAGTGGCCACTAGAGGAACTGCTGTTTATGAGAATTCATTTTCCAGCCCAATATTAATCAGTTCTCCAGGTTGATTAATAATTGGATTGTTTATCCACCATTATATTAACATTTGCAGTGTCCAGTGACATGCTTCATGTGTGCTATCATCTCTGGTACAAGCTCAAAGCAGGAACTCTTTTAAAAGCGCTATACAAATACAGGCAAAAAAAAAAAAAAATGCTCGCAAACCTGAAAAACACAAAACTCTTGTGCCAGCAAATCTCAGCATAACAGTCGACTCTCTTTTTTTAAAATCTCATTATAACTTGTAAATATTATACGTGTCCTTTGTCCTCTTTCAAGGCTAAACAAGAAAAACTGAAAGCTCATTTACAGCAACAAATTCATATCAGAGAGCATAAAATGGCAGAAGTCAGATCATCAGTAACAGACTGCAAGGTAAAGACTGTAACATATGTTTGATTTTTTTGTTTTGTTGTTTTGTTTGCTTTAATATCTTTGCTCTAAATCCTCCACTCTGTTTGACGACTTTCAGGCTAGTTTGGATGCAGAGTGGCTGGAAGTCAACGATTTCTTCTCAGACATAATAAAAGTTGTGGAGGATGCTCGGCAGAAAGCCCTTCAGCCTCTGGAGGAAAGGTTGGTCCTGTGAGATTATGTTGCAGTTAGTCTCTTAGTTCATCAGTGAGGAACAGCT